AAAAAACAAAAAAACAAACAAACATGTTCATCATGCATGAATCAGTATGGTAACGGTTTCTAGTGTGTTTAATAAAGCATTTTTATTTAAATGTTTCCTAAAATATTGTCTTGATCTATCTAGAAGTCTGTCTCACAAGATAGGGATGTTTACGTGATTGTGTAAAAATGTTATGTTTGTGGTTCTTGGAACTTTGTATGCTTTAGTGATTATTGTGTTTTGAATTGTCTGTAGTTTTGTTATGTGTAATTTCGCTACATTTAGCCATGCTAGGCAGGCATACTCTTCCACTGGATGAATGTAAGTTTTATAGATTTGAAGTATATCTTCTGCTGTTGCGCCCCTGGTGTTGCCAGTCAGACGCCGGACATAATTGGCTCTTTGCTATTGTTACGTCTCCGTTCGTTCGTTAATTTCTCCGTAAAAATTCTTTCCGAAGAAACTTTACCGATAGAAGTCCTTTCTTAAATAAAACTGGTTTGTTCTTTCTGAATATAACTTTGCGATACACTTAATTACAACAATCGCGCTATAACAAACGCTATAATTCTCAACGAACGTCTCACGTGCTCGACTCAACAATACTCATTTCAATTACACACATTGTTGCCGTCACTTTGTGACCGTCTTATATATATACAAGACTACACTATATCTAGAAGGATCCCGAGATTTAAGGAAGGGACGTGAACGTTCGAGAAGGACGTGGCGTGATGCTAGTCACGTGACCTCTGCTGACGCAACACTATGTTTTATATCTAACTTCATTTATATGTTTACTACAGTTTAATTTTGAGTCATAAGTTAAACTAAGAAATCTAGCTGATATGGCTACTTAGAGAAAGGTTCCGTTTAGGTGTAGTTTATGGGGCTGTCTACTTATTCTAATAGATTTTGTGAATAATACTACTTTTGTTTTTGTTAAGTTAGTTGCTGCTATAGCCGGAGTATTTAAACATTTCAATGTAGCCACATCATCTGCGAACTAGAAGAGAATACAGGAATTTTGATATATTTACAGCCATTTTACTCACATACACGATGAATCGGTAAATGATTGCTGTCTCTATTCTCTCCCGTGTTAAATGATAGAAAATATTTAAATAATGTGGTTGAACATAGACACAGAACCACAGTTTGACTAATATTGTCAGTATAACTCGTGTTAGTAGGAGTATTATCGTCTAACAGAATAGTAGCTGTTTCCTTTATAAAGTCTGACAGTTTTCTCCTGTTTGTTGATGTACTTTCACACACAAATATCTGATGTTTACTGTCGACATCTATTATGATGTAATTACAGTTATTGTGTACAATAGTATGTTGAAGATCTATGTCCAGTTCTGACTGTGGAGAGCATTATATACCAGGCTTAGAAATAGTAGTATTATTTGTTATGTACAGTTTTAGGTATATATTTTCATTTTCAGTTTGAGATCTAACGTATTTACAGATGAAATATTTTTATACAAAACAAGTATTCCCCTGTTGAGATTATCCTTGCTTTCTCTGCCATTTCTAACGGTTATATAGTCTGATATATTAAATCTATGAGTTATAAATCATTTGTTTTAGTAATAAATAAAACATCTGATTTGGCGTGACGTATAATATTTTCAATCTCGTGCCGCTTAGAAGCTAGGTAACCCAGTGTGTTGACATGGGGCACAGTGAGCATATTCATTTTGACTGAATGTGTGTTTCGTTATTTGTGCTGAAATTGGTGTCATAACTGAATGTTATGTGTTTTCTTGCTATTCTGGATATAGTGATTTGGAAATGCTGTGTTTGCTAATTTCTTCTAGGAAGTCAGATAATATGCTTCTTGTGATTTTAACTAATTTTTTTATTTGTTCTTCTTGTGTAGTTTCCAATGGTTATAAACCCTCAGACTTACTGCTGTGCCACTTGGGAGCGTTATCAACTTATAGTTAATTTAATAGATTTTTGATTTATAATTAAAAGAGTGTATCAAAAAATATACTATTAACCTATCATTGTTCATTATCTTTATTGTTTTGTTTTTGAATAACATTCTTTTGGTTTTAAGTGCATACAACATTCCCCACAAGCTGGAAAAGGAAACGGTTAATTTGAAATATTGCTTCAAAACGAAACACACTGTTGTTCCATTTTACTGCAGTAAACAGACAACAAAATTAGTGTCTTAGCAAAAGTAAAACTTATTTCTTTGAAAAAATAATCCTTGGGAATATGTAACTGAAGTTGTACACCTAAGTTGTGATTTCGTAACTATTTTACAATATATTAAATTCGTCAGGCCAATTATTCGGTATAGATTCTAGAGTCGTGTTTTTCAACCACTGATCTGTGGGATTTCACGAAAACAACAACAAAACTGACAGAATATTCATTGGTAAATCGTAATGTTTTTTTTTGTTTTTTTTGTAGCACTTGCATTTTAGTGGTAAGTTGCAATGAATCAGTCCCTAGTATCGAAAAGGTTGAGAAACGCTTCTCAAGAGTATTTATTCACTGTGCTGTTTGTTTTAGAAATTTCGCTCGAAGTTACACAAGTGATGTTCTGTGCATAGCCATCTCTAATTTTGAAACGATAAACTAAAGGTATTGTTTGTTTGTTTGGAATTTCGCGCAAAGCTACACGAGGGCTATCTACGCTAG